CTGCCTGCTGCTGGACAGCCCTGCACCTCCCAGACCACAGAAGAGCCAGTAAAACCCTAACTGCTCCAATCAGAGCAGCTCTTTCTTCATCCCAAATCTTCTACTGGCTTCTGATCATCCATCCTCCTCCCCATCCTGCCCCCACAGCCCTCTGAGCCCATCAGTTGCTAATTAGATGAAGCTGCAAGTAATGAGGTGTCAAGCACCTGTGCTGCCCGAGCTCCTCCTCCTCCCTGGGTGCAGTAACTGTGGGGGTGTCCCTGTGCCTGCCTTGGGGGCTCCCCTGGCTGGGATGGGGGTCACAGCTGCCCTCTCAGGGGGAGCCACCCTGTCCTGGGCCCTCTGACCACTGGCCTGGGCCCAGCAGCCTTTGTGTCACCAGAGCAGGCAGTGGGAGGAGATGGATCACAGTGGGCACTGGGCACTGCCACAGGGCTGCCAGGGGCAGGGCAGGAGCTGGGCTCATCCTGCCAGGGCTGGGCTCATCCTGCCAGGGCTGCTCTCACCCTGCCTGGCTCTGCCCCTCAGGGGCTTCACCAGGGAGCAGCTCTGCAGCCTTGGACGGCTCCTCCTGCAGCCCCACGGCTGAGCTGGGCGCTGAGCAGGCACTCGGCTGCTGATGGCGCAGGATCAGCAGTGGGCCAAGGAGAGCTCAGGAAATTACCTGGCTTTGTGAATGTTATTTATTTATTTATTGTATCTTTTGTTCCATGTGCTTTTAGGAGGCAGGAGATTCTTAATACAGGGAGAGTTGGTATATTAACCTCACATTTTTGCTACTGAAAGGACTCTCTGGTCTGGCTTCTACAGGAGATGTTTTGACGACAAAACAGTGCAGCTATGATTAGCCTGATAAAAGGGAGCCAGAGTTGGAGTATTGATGGTATGTGCATCTAGGATCTAGTTACAAAATGGGCTTTTAACCACATTTTCCCTTGTGAATTCCTGTTATCAAAGGCCATCTTAAAAGAAAAAAAAAAAAAAGAGAAAAAGAAAAAGACAGGCAACCTTTCTTTTTCATTTTAGATGGGGATGTTTCTTGTATTTCTTTATGCTTATGAAAAATGAGCCATTAATAACCCTGACCAGAAGCATGCACAGAGCAGTGTGTGCTGTGCACATTTCCTCACCCAGCTCCATGGGAGCAGAGCAGCCCTGAGCAGCTCCTGGACCCAGCTGTGGCTTCACGAGGGAGCTCAGCACTCCCAAAGGATTGTATCCACACCAATGTACTTTCCAAGCTTTTTTTCTTTCTTTTTTTTTTTTGATCTAATTTATTTTGAGAATACATTTTCAGAGCTGATTAGCTGCTGTACTAAATCACTGCACTGTCTAACCCCAAAAAGCTGCCCTGACAAACAATTAACAATAGAAACACCATTGTGGCAACAAGTGATGGATGGCTCCAGGGTGCAGCTTGGGCCCAGGCTTTGTTCAGAAGAACGTTGCTGCTGCTAAATAAAGACATGGGTAGTAAAAGGTGAGAGCAGAGAGATTGTATCTGGAATAAAACTATTTGCCCTGCTTGGGGTGTGTTTCTCACAGCACTGAACATCTCAGGAGAGGCAGGAGAGCCCCATGGCTCTGGGCATGATCAGAAACTGCCAGGCACCAGGGAATCATGGAATGGTTTGGGTGGGAAGGGATCTTAATGATCACGTTCCACCCCTGCCATGGCAGGGACACCTTCCACTGTCCCAGGTGCTCCCAGCCCCAGTGTCCAACCAGCCTTAGGCACTACCAGGGATCCAGGGGCTGCCCTGTGCCAGGGCCTGCCCACCCTCACAGGCAAGAATTTCCTCCCAAAATCCCATCTAAAGCTGGGCTGCCCTTCTTCAGCTTAAAGCCATTCCCCCTGCCCTGTCACCCCCAGCCCTTGTGGAAAGGCCCCTCCAGCCTCCCCCTTTGGTCACTGGGAGGAGCAGCAGAGCCAAACCTCCTCCTGCCACGAGTAGGGGATTTCTCTTAAATCCTTTTAAGAGCATGGTTTTGAGTTAATTTCTCTTGCCACAGGCAATTTCCTGATTGCTACTGTTCTGTCATTAATCTCTAACTGTTATTCTAAGTTTTGTGTTAATTTACCAACTTGCCTGTAACTTATTACTCTAAAGAGAAGTAGAATTAGTTATCACAATACCTCATATTGATTCTATTATGCAGGTATTAGAATCTATTTATTAGAAGTAATAAATATGAAGACACAGTGTAAAAAAGGAAGCTGGATATGCAGACCCTGTAATGGTAGGTAAGGATTAGTTACTACAGACCACTCAAAAGACATTGTGGTTGAAAGGATGATTTAAGGTCCACAGCATTTAAAAAATTAAGAAAAAGCTTGAGAAACTTTGCCAAACAAGCCAAACTACCTCCTGTAATCTGCACAGGAATGTTATTTTATGTATGCTTCAAATGCATCTAGGTCACAACGTTTTTAGGAATGAACGGAGTCAAAGAAAGTCATTGATTAGTCCAGTAAGTTATTTTCTCAAGAAAGTTTGCCATGCTCCACTTTTCCTGAACCCCAAGAAAACAGTTTGCTCATCCTTGACCTGTCCCATAGCAGTGTGCTCTGCTAAACAGCTGAGGTTGAATTATAGTGATCATCACTAGCTTGCACATCAGAAATGAAGAAAAAAAATCAGAAAAATGAAGCATAAAAAGCTGTGGATATGTTTGCTGGAGGAGTCTGTGGTGTGTGGGCAGGGCAGCTCTCAGATTCCCAAAGCTCTGGCTGCTGCTGCCCTGTCCCTGTCGCCCCCTGCTCGCGGCACTGGAGCGAGCGCAGCTCTGTCAGCGCCCACGGCGTGTCCCGCTGCTGATGGAGGGGAGCGGGGCACGGCCTTTCTGCTGCCTTCTAATGGCACTTCACTCTGCTGGGGGGGTTCCCCTCCCAAAGAGAACCTGCTTCAAGCCTTGAATTTGTTCTCATCAATACCTGCTGCCCCCTACTCACCCTTGGAGACTCTGGCCCATCCCCTTGTCCCTGGTGCTGGGTGTGCTCCAGGGCTGGGAGCCTTTATTACATTGGAGGCTACAAAAGCCTCGGAGCAGCTGCTCCGAGCGCCCCAAATGCCCTGGAGGTGCGGAGGGCTGCCCGCTGCTGCCCGCTTTTCCCTCTTCCCCTTTCCCCTTTCCCGTCTCCTCCTTTTCCCCTCTCCCCGCCGCGCTGTCCGCGCCTGCAGTTCCGGCCGTGCCCGCCAGGTGCCGCTCTGACAAAGAGGTTGCGGCGGGCGCTGCCCGCGGGGCTCGGGGCTCCCCCGCACCCGAACCGAACCCAACCGAACCGAACCCCGAAGCCCCGAAATCCTGCGCTCCACACCCTGCACCCCCGAGCCCTGCACTCCCCGAACCCTGCACCCCTGCACTCCCACCCCCGCACCCCCCGCACCCCCCGCACCCCCGCATTTCGCTCCGGGCTCCGTCCCGGGCCGAGGCCGGGCCGCCCGCTGGCTCCAGTGGGAAGCACGGCCCGGCTGCACGGAGAGGCTGCGGGGATCCAAGGTGGTGGGAATCATCCGCCGCACCGGGGGACGCGGAGCGATGGAGAGCTGGACAGGGACACTCCTTCCCTGCCCCGGGCAGCCGGCAGGGACGGACCGGCCCAAGCCCCAGGACCGGCTGCGCCCCGCTCGGGCCCCCCTGCGGTGGCTCGGGAGAGCGGGGGGTCCGTGCGGCCGCTGCCCCGCGAGAGGGGCTCCAGCCCGGCTCCTCGGGGGCCTCTGCTCTTGCCCGGCTCCTCCGAGGGACGCTGAGGAATCCTGTCATCGTGTTTCTGTCATCAGAAAAACATTATCAGCAGAACAATTCCCGCACCACACCCCTGTTATCATTTAGGTAACCTCCCTGTTTGAAATATTTTAAGTGGATAATAAAATAGTCACCATATCCGTGTAAATTCCCGCAACGAGGAGCCGGGATCCTCTTCCCGGCCGGGCCGGCGCCCCCGCCCGCGGCAGGCGGGCGGCTCCGCGGAGCTCCCGGGAGGCCGCAGCCCCCGGGCCGCCCCCAGCGTGGGCTCGGACCGCGGGCACGGACGTGCGGCCACGGCCACGGGGACCGAGCCCTGCCCTGTCACTGAAGGATCGCCCACAAAACCGGCGGGGAGGTCACTGCGGGCGCACGGGGCTCCCTCTCGGCCCCCCCCCAGCACCTGCCGGTGCCGCCTCGCCCCCCGGTGCGGGCGGGGCGGCGCTCCGGAGATGCTGCGGCCGCCCGGGGCTCACCTCGGCGCGGGGACCGGGAGGCTGCGGGACAGCCCGCGACACGCGGGAGGCAGACCGGGGGGAGGAGCGTCGGGACAAACGCATAAAACCGGCCCCAGGTGCTCGGCGGCCCCGGCGAGCGGGCGGCGAGCGCGGAGTCAAAGCTGCGGCCCCGCTGCCGGCGCGGAGCAGCGCGGGGTGCGGGCCCCCGATGCCGCCCGGCGGGCCGGGGCCAGCCCCGGGGGCGTCCCCCGGTGACACCCCCCGGATCCCCCGCCGCGTTCCCCCGGGCCGTGCCCGCAGGAGGAGGATCGCGCTGAGCCTGCCCGCAGGCAGGTGATCCGTCTGCCGCTCCTGTTCCCCTCCTGCCCACCTCCCCGCCTCGCTTCCCCCCCCGGCTGGACAACTCCCTCCTTTGGAGAACACGCCCAAGTAGCTGAAAAAGAGAGAAAGAGAGAAAAAAAAAAGGGGGGGGGGGGTTTGTGTGAAGAAGAGAGAGAGCCAATTCACACCGAAGGTGGGGACGCGGCTGGCGCTCGCAGGACCCCGCAGCCCGCCCAGCCCCGCGCTCCCGGACAGCGCCCGCAGCGGGGCCGGCAGCGCGGGCGGAGCGCAGCCCCGGCGGGGCCATGCCCAGAGCCGGCGGGGGCTCGGCGCGGAGCCGCGGGCGCTGCGGGGCGCGGCGGGGGCTGCCCCGCTCGGCCGGGCGGCCGTGAGCGCCAGGGACGGAGCGGCCCCGGCCCCGAGCGCGCCGGGCATCGTTTCGCGTGTTGGTCTGAGCCACGGCAAGCAAGGAATATGAACAGGAAAACAAGGCGCTGGATCTTCCACATCTTCCTGAGCCTGGGGATTGTGTATATCAAGATTGGGTAAGTAACTTTTTTTTTCTTTCCTTTATAACAATCGCGCTCTCTTTCGCGCTCAGCCCAACCTGCCCAGACCTGTTACTATTTAACTCGAGAAGTCTCAAAAAAAAAAAAAAAAGAAAAAAAGTGATGATGGTGGAGATCACGATTATTTCTCAAAAGACAGGTACAGCGCACCTCGGAGCGACCCTCCAGGGGGGCGAGGCGGCGGCCCCGGCGATGTGCGGGGCTGCGAGGGGCTGGGCGGCGGTCCCTGCCGGGGAGGGACGCCGGGGCGATTTCCGGGCAGCCGGCCCTTCCCCAGCCCGGTGCGGGGTGCCCCGGCCGCTCCCTGGCCGGTACCTGCCCGCGCCTCCCGCAGGGACATCCCTCGGCCGCTGCTGCCCGGGGGGACAGCGCCGCCCGGCCCGGGAGGGGCGCAGGGAGGGCGGCGGCGCTCCGGACCCGCAGCATCCCCGGCCAGGTGCGCTGGGTGCGGGAGGAGGCGGCGCGGCCCCGGGGCAGGGAGCGTGGGTTGTCCCCCTCCCTTCCTTCCCTCCCTCCCTCTCTCCTTCTCTCCCTCTCTCCTCCAACTGCTCGGCAGGTTTGGGAAAAGCCTCCCAGCCCGCTGCCAGTGCGCGGCCCGGGCAGACAATGCCGCTGCACGCACTTTAATTCTGGAAGGAGGAAGTTTGGTCCTGTTTTGGCAGGAGCCCGCGCGCTGCCGATCTCTGCCTCGGCTTGGAGAGAGGGACGGGGAGAGGGCAGCGGCAGGGGAGAGGCGGGCGCTCCCCGGGGCACCGCCAGCGCCGGGGCCGCGGCACGGGAAGGCAGCGGGTGCCGCTCTGCCTCCGGGACCCGCCTGCCCTCAGCCACCGCCGCTGTCTTGTCGTTGCAGGGGTTTCTCCTCTGTGGTGGCCCTGGGAGCCAGCATCATCTGTAACAAGATCCCGGGGCTCGCCCCCCGGCAGCGGGCGATCTGCCAGAGCAGGCCCGACGCGATCATTGTCATCGGGGAAGGGTCCCAGATGGGCATCAACGAGTGCCAGTTCCAGTTCCGCAACGGCCGCTGGAACTGCTCGGCCCTGGGCGAGCGGACGGTCTTCGGCAAGGAGCTCAAAGTGGGTACGTGCTCTGGGCTCTGCTCCGCCCGCCCGAGGGCAGGGGATGGTGGTGGCACCGGGGGTGGCACGGGCACCGCGGGCACCGCGGGCACTGCGGGCACTGTGTGCACCTGGGCGCTGTGCTGGCACTGCCGACCTGCTCCCTCCCGGCAGGGCACCTGCCTGCGCTTCACTCCCATGTGTGCCAGCTCCCACCTGGGCACTATTTCACAGCCCTGCTCTCAGAAATCCTCTCCAAAAAGCTTCCCGTTTGTGTGCACAGGACCCGATTCATGTACTTAGGGATGGGAGAAAAGGAGACTGGCTCTTGCTGAAGGCAGCGGTGAGAGCCAGAATGCTGAGCAGAGCTGGAACTGCACTTGTGGGGTGCAGGCACCCCCAGGGATACTGGGCTGATGTTCGTGCCTGGTGGGATCCAGGCACAGCCATCAGTCTCACTGTCAGAAATTCCCAGCACACAAAATCCTTCCACAGCAGCTGTGCCCCTGTGCCACGAGGAAGAGTGGGTGTGTTCTGCTTTGGGATGTCAGGGCATTCACAAACGCTGGTCCAATCAACTGACAGAAGATCCCACTTCCATTTTCCATGTTTTCAGTTATTGCAACAGTACAAAATATATGCAAATTCTGAACTAAAGCAGCATTAATAATAACTAATGTAAATACCTGAAGAAATGGGGCTGAGATTAAAACTCTCATGCCCCCATTCTGCAAAACACTGTAGTGAAATTTACCCAACGTTTCTTTGATTCCACTTAAAATGCAAAGACCAAGGACTGTGTTTTCCAAATACAGGCTAGTCTTTTTTAGAGCCACCACGGAAAGCTCACAGCTCTGCATTCCACGTCCAGAAGGATCTGTGGTTTCCAGTCTCTTCCCCATGTAAAATGAAGTTGCAAAAACCCAGAAACCCCATCAAGCAATACTTAGCATGGTAGAAAATGTGGATGTTTCATGAGGAGAGTAGGCAGCCCAGAGAACAGGGGCCAGGGGAGCCCTGAGCAGCCGTGGGGGAGCCCTGGATGGGCTAGCCCCAGGCACTGCTCAGTCCCATGGCAGGGTCTGTCCCAGGCCCTCATTGCTGGCACTGCCATGAAACACAGAGGTGCAGCCTTGCCACGGTGCTCTGGAGCCCCTGAGAACACTGAGTGTGTGTTTTACCACAGCCGTGCACACTGGTAGGTGTTCTCCAGAACTTTGGTAAGGCAGGAGCAGGAAGAGAGGAACTCGTCTCGGTTTGGAAACCCTGCCTTTCAAAACCTTTGATAATCACAGTGGCTCAAGTAGACAAAGTAAAAAGCTCCCTGCACAACACTGGGGATCATCTGAAAATGGAGCATTAATTCAGGTTAGCTCATTGTTTCTGTTCCTTGAGCTTAGCCCTTCCTGTCAGTGATGCAGGCAAGGCAAGTGTTTGCCACTTCTGTCAGTGAAGAGTCCATTTGGATGGCTGGCAGGTTTGGGCTCTTTTAGTCCAAGAGTAACATTTCCTAAAAGGAAAATGTGAGAAGGAGTTTTCTTCTCTCAGAAATTAGAAAATTGCGGAGTTGTTGTGGTCTGTTGTGTAAACATGCTCTCAGTTCCTTCCCTCCCTCCGAAAATTGAATTATTTAGCTAGCAGGTTATATTTAGGTCCTTTTAAAGAAAGTCAATATCAAAGGAAGTAGACTTTGATCTGTCTTTGAGGTGATAACTCTTAATATGTTCTATCTATCCATTATGAGGCTAAGATGGATAGGGCAAATTCTTCCTTGGTTTCAGAACACAGTCAAGAGTTGAATGGCATCCAAATTACAAAACTCCATAAAAATCGTTTAAGGAATAACAAACCCCTCAAATTTAAACAGGTTACACATGTTATTTTAAAGTAAACTTTGGTAAAAATCATAGGGGGTTGAAATCCAATGGTGATTTTTTCTTTTGCACAGACACTCCTGTGGCCTCAAGGATAAAACTACTTAGGCTCTCAAACACCACAAAATATTTATAACTGTTCCTGTTCAGGTGGTCTCCTTGCTTGGTCTCCTTTCTTCTGCTTCTTCCCTATCAGCGGGTACAGAAACTCTGAACATCTGACACAGCTCATCTTTCTATGGCTATGGGGAAAAGGCATCTCTTGCTCTTTCCCAAGGATCTCTGCCAGGGTGTGTTCCAGGTTACCATCCAGAGAAATAATATTTTCCTTGGTTAAAAAGGGTGCAACCTATGTGCCATAAAGCCGTAAGTCAAATTTGGTGCCCACAAACAAAAGGAGATCAGGTCTGAGGGCCTTACCCTGAATAGGAAAGAGAGATGTGGGACAAGAAGGACCATGAAGCCCTATAGGAAGGGTTTCAAGGTGACAGAGCCCCAGAACAGCCCAGGTTACCATTTGGTGAGGATAATGTACCCTCGGTGCTTTTTTAATTAGCCTTTGACGAGGTGTGTTCTAAAATACTGTTCCACAGCCCCGAGCACACCAGTCCCCTCCCTAGCATTTAAGAAGTGACTGTGCCTTTCAGGCAATGGCACCTGAAGTTATTGCCTGGGGAGTGCAGGGCACCTTTTGTCTGGCCACTTGCAATAAAGTCAGTGAGCCACACGTGAGCTCGTCCCTCTGTCTCTGCGAGGCTTCCTCTGCCTCTGGAGTGGTCCTGCTGGCCCTCTTGGCCCTCTGTGACAAGGAGGTATCTCCAGGGTGACAAAGGTGTGGCTGTCCTGGCCATGGCCCTGAGGGGTGGGTGCAGCCAGCAGGGGCTCACAGCAGCCTGGGAGGATGTGCCCGAGTAACTCCTGTGGAAATGGGGTTTGTGTGTGTCAGTCCTTACAAACAAACTCCCTTGGGTACCAGAGCATCTTGTGATCTATTTCCCAGCCCACAGCTTTGATGGCACACCAAGCCACATCTTCAGTTCCAGCTTTCTTTGCTTTTACCCCTGCTGGGTAATCTATTCTATGAATGTTATGCAAATGTACTGCAATTATTTAAATTCTCTTATTGCCATTCAGGGCAATTCCCCTCCTGGCCCTGTTGTTGTGTACCTAAGGGTCATGGCACTCTCTTCTTTTTTTCTCTTTTCCTATCTTTAAAATGGCAACAGGAATATTAACCTTATTGAAACACTTGGAATTCTCTAGAAGGAAAGCATCAAACAATATTTCCTTGTTCTAACCTGTAGCATGTGAGTATTTTTAAAAATTCACATACAATCCAGTATCCAGTGAAGTGATAGTTTATTTGTGGAGTTTATTTGTAGAGGTACAGTGAGCAACCCTTTGAATTCATCCTAGAGCATTTTTGTGCTCATGGGCTTGAGTTTCCCACTGGTGGCAGTGAGCTCCCACCAGTGCCCAGCACTGACTCTCCATTTCTTGGGTCATTTTATCTGCTTTGCCCTTCCAAAGAGAGGTGTCCCCTCCCGGCACCCTGTGGATGTAACCCCGTGCCAGCTGGTGACAGCAGTGCCAGGAGCACACAGAGAAGTCCCAAAGTGCCATCAGACTGCTCTGCTCCAGTCCCAGAGAGAGCAATGGAGACCAGATCAGCACAGGGACGATTTTTCTAGACCATTCCACAGACACCTTATTAATAATGTAGAATGGCAGAGAGAATTTCTAAAATAACCATGGAGATGATGCAACGCTGCAATTATGGACACACTTAAAACCAAATATCTTTGCCACAGTGGTCAGCAGTTCTGTTCCTGAGGACGGCCACAATCAAAACCAACGTTTTTAAAGCAGGATAGGCCAAAACCCTCCTGCCTGTCTGTCTTCAGGTGAAACATGGTTCAAGTCTGAGGATCTGAGATGCCTTTGATGGAGTCTGAAAATCAGATTTGGGCTCTGCTGGATCAAGGGCAGAGTGAGAGTTGTGGCAAAGGCTTTCCATCAGGTGCCTCAGGGGCCCATTTTGCAAGGTGCAACCTCGTGAGCAGGTGGCCAGCAGTGACGCTGCTGGTGTCCCAAAGGACTGCTTTGGGACACAACTACATTTCATGGGATCTGGAGGACACCACCACATTGGCATCATAGGGGGAAAAAACCCCATCTCCTTTTGCCACAAGTAAGCAGCACTGGCACTGTTAAAAAAGAAAGTGAAGTGGTACAAACTGTTTGACTGCATTTCCACAGAGGGAAATGGCCAAGTGGAGACTCCTCAGGACAGAACTGAGAGAAGAGAGGCACAAGAGCCCTGCAAAGACTGCAAGGACCCAGCAGGGGGGAGCATGGAGGGAGTCCTGAGGTGTGAGTGGTGGTCTGCAAGGAGCATTTCAGCAGAATCTTTCAGCCAGGTCCTCATCCTGGCCTTACTAAAATGCATCAATTCTTCGCTCTCTTCTACCCTGGAAAATGCTTCAGTACAATCACATTGATACTTCACCCACCTGACATTACTCTTGGGAATAAGCAAAGCTGAAATCAGAAGAAGAGTCCCCATAGACAGGCTGGTCCCAAAGCTGATGAGCACAGCAGGGCAGCCCAGCAGCTCTGCAGGCTGTGCCCAATGCCTTTGGCTCAGGGATCATCCCGGGCTGCCCTGAGGCACACACTAAACCAGGAGAGCCTCTATCCACTGCACTCTTGGCTCTGCACTGGACTGAATTAGCACTGATTCATTTGCCAGGTACCAAAATCAGCTTTTCTTCTCTGGCTTCAAACAATGTAAGGAAAGAGGGACATTCCCACTCCTGCCTATTGAAGCAAATGGCAACTGTCCTACAAGGCAAAGCCTTCACTAACCTGCTCAGAGCTGTCAGCTCTCCTGCTGGTATGGAAAAGAGAAGAAGATCTAGGACACTTTCCTCTCCAGCTGGGTAGATTTAACACAAAATTTAACAGGAAAGTTATGAGTAAATCTTCATATTGTCACTGTGTTATAGGCAAGCACTTGTGAAAACATCCCAGTAGAGGTGTGCTGAAGAACAGATTTAATCTTCAATCATTTCAGGGAGCATTTTGATTTTAAACACTGCTGTAGTCTCTCGTGCCAGGTTTTAAAGTCTGATTGTTTGAATTCCAG